CTCATCTCAGTCTCCACAACAAATAGTGATGGAATGATACTAAAAAAAGACATTACCCTCTGTAGAAATAACACAAGTGCCAAAATAAATATACTATAAAGTAGAATGTAAAAGTTGATCAAGGACCAAAAAGATGGTAGGCAAGATACATTTTCCCCCATTCTACCCCCACAACAAAAGCAAAATTATGCATTGATTTGGAATAATTATAGCTGACTCTACAAGACAATAACAATAGAACCCCCAAAAGGTAAAATCCTTATTAATACCAGAGAACGCTATTATCTAATTCTTAAAGTACTCATTCAGCCTTTCTCCTACAGTAGCCCCTACCTCCTCTGTTAGGAATGCACAAACTAACCCAAGGGCCTGTGCCTGGATCTCACATTGGAATTCCATCTTGCTTTTGAGACTTTTCAACATGCATCCTTCCCTGCCTGACCCCAACTCTGAAACAAGCAGTAGACACTAATTCTTCTCAGCCAATTGACAGGAGAGGAGAAGAGGGGAAGCTTTCTCACCAAAATTGAGCAGAATGTTTTGCAAACACCACCAAACCAAAGAAATACAAGCAAGGTAAATAAGCACAATTGCCAAGCAAACAATAAGTGATGAAATGAATTACTCCATGCTTAGAGGTTATTGAGAGAAAGAATGAGGAAGAGATCAATTGACCTATGGGATAAAAACAATAAGAGATCATTAAGAGATTTTTTTTCCAAAAATCTCAAATTTCAAAGATGAAAGTTTCTTCTTGACCCCACATAACAAGGTAAAGATGTAAAGTTGGATTTAAAGAAACAGAAGAGGGAGGGATAGAGTAGGAAACATAGGTGATGTAAAAACCAAAACTAAAAATATTATTTTTTGAAAAAGAATGCATTAGAGACTATAGAAAGCCAGGAGAGCTAGCCATTTGCACCAAACATTGAAAAATCAAGTTAGGTTTGTGGAAAAAAAAATATTATCCAGGGTAAGTACTTCATTTCTCCACATAAATACATGCACCAAAGCTAGAGAAATCATTTGTGTTTCTTAGGTTATACACACATAATGTTTTCATTTCTATGGGACCTCAAATACCTTATACCTTAGATGTGGTAGGATTTAAAATCCTATAGTTCAAAAGAGTAGAGCACCTAGTACCATACTAAGAGCATTAGAAGAGGATATTAAATCAAAACTAGATAACTGATTCTTGCTCACATTAGATAATATCCTTATTTTGGACACACATCAGGTATATACTGGTGTACTCCTAAGTGGTGGTGTAGTAAACCTCATCCGGGGGGGAACATGTAGCCATGATCCTCTGTACTATTGCCAGCCTACCACTGTTCCTCATGTAATCACTAAGCCTCCAAAGAATCTTTAAGATGGAAGAGACTTCAGAAGCCATCTACTTCATGCCCTACCTGAAGCATAGATTACCTCTATAACATTTCTCACAGGTGCAAATCCCACATCTCCTTGACAACTTTCAGTGTCAGTTGTTAGACAGTTCTGATGTTTTCAAAGGTTATCCTTATACTGAACCAAAATCTGCTTGTGATTTCCATCCCTCAGATCCAATTTTGACACCTAGAGCTTTGTAGAACAAGTGTAATCTTCCTTCAACTCAATAGCCCTTTAAATATGTATTAACCTATGATGTCCAGCATAGATCTTCTCTTGCTCAGGTAGTGTGTCACAGTAAAAGGAGTCCTGGATTTGGAAGTAGACTTGGATTCAAACCAAATGCTGGTTGTGCTACTTAATGCCTAAGTGACCTTGGGAAAGTCACTAAACCTATCTGGACCTCAGTTCCTACCTAGGAAAAAGAAAAGGGTCAGATTAAATGACTTTATTTCAAATTTTTGATTCTATGCTGCTATGAAAATCTAGTTGTTCTGTGAAAATCTAGTATTTAGTAGAGAAGTTAGAAGTTAATTTGTCTAACTCACTTACTACAAATGAAAATGTTTCTAAAGCATCCCTGACCAGGTAATGTGTAATAAGCAACTGGGATGATGAATTGCCGGGCTCCCTGTGATGCTGGTGCCTCAGAGTAGCCCATGTACAATTCCTAGTTCTGTTGTCAACTCTGGGGATCTGCCTGCTCCCACTGTAGATCAGGGCACAAAGGGTCTCTTTACCGCATTTACTATCTCCCTCTGTCTCACCCCAATACCTCCTCCTTTAGAAGAGAAAAGATACTATTGTCTCATCACCCCCATTTCTCTCCTTTGTTCTCTCCTTTGACTCACTGAAAAAGATCTGGGCTAGGGTCTTGCTGCATGAACCAGACACCTTCAGGCAAGATCTGGGGCTGCTCCGTGGGTACTAGATTGTAGCTGATATCACAGAGCAGTTTGTATGGCTTTCAAGTTCAGCTCCCTTTTGTTCCCCAGTGCCAATAGGGAGAAGAATTTGGGCAAGTGGGACCTGAAATCCTTTGGGCCCCCTGGGGATTCATAGGAGATATTACCTGGAGGAGGGAAGTGCCTGGGAGACTCTGGGATTTTTAAAAAATGATAATGAAAATAAAAACATGGAATGTGAAGGGAAAAGACTTTAGAGGACAGGGGACTGATTTGTTTTGGGTTTTGGTTTTTTTGTTTGTTTGTTTGGCTTTTTACTTTATATCTCCAATACCTATAACAATGCCCAGTTTATAGTAGGTACTTAATAAAAATAATACCCAGCATTTATACTGCAAGTTAAGGTTTCCAAAACACTTTACATATGTTATTTCATTTGACTCTCACAACCCAATAACAACTTTGTGAAGTAGGTATTACTATCATCTCCATTTTGTAGATGAGGAAACTGAGACTGAAAGAGGTTAAGTGACATATGCAGGGTTGCACAGATACTAATTATCTGAGGCAAAGCTTCAACTCAGCTCTTACTGACTGCAATTCGATCACAATAACCACTCTGCCACCTACATACCTATAAATGTTTTGTGATTAATTCAACAATAAAGCAAGGTGAAACATCACAAAAAGAAAACTTCCTTGGTAAGACCTATGGGGAAGAGACAAATGGAGTAAGGAGAACAAGTCTAAGAGCAAGAAGGCCTGAACTGTAGGAGAAAGTAATGAGGCTGGTCAAAGGCAAGGACTATTTTTCATTAGTCTTTGCACCCCCAGGATCAAGCATGATGCTTTGCACAAAGTAGGCACTTAATAAATGTTTATTGAATTAAATTGTATAGAGCTATTTACATGAAGAACCATCTATGGGTTCATCCTTGTCTTTAATGATCAGAGTAGTAGACCCAATCTCAGTGAGTAGCCTTGAGGATAATACTGTTTGGGTGCTTTCTGCACAGGAAAGGTAAACAGTCCCCTTAGCAAAACTTGGCCTGACCTATTGGAAAGGTGTATGACTCACAATGAGCAGTTTGATACCTAAAAGAAGTAGGGGGGCAGCTAGATGGTACAGTGGATAGAGCATTGGCCCTGGAGTCAGGAGGGCTTAAGTTCAAATCTGGCCTCAGACACTTGACACTTACTAGGTGTGTGACCCTGGGCAAATCGCCTAATCCTGATTGCTTCATGCTCCTCCCCACCCCAAAAAAAGTAGGAAAAGACCTTTGAATTCATCAAAACTGCTAAAATACACATGTAAAGAAATACAGTTGTCAAATAGGATTTCAGCAGTAGGTAACAAAAAAAATTAACAACTGCATAAACATAAAGGCTTAAATCATCTTCTAAAAATTATTTTATTTTGTTAAATATTTCCTAATTACATGCAAAAAAAATTGGCAATCATTTTTTTAAAGTTCCAAATTCTCTCCCTCCCTCTGGCACCCCCAACTCCTTGAGAAGGCAAGCAATGTCATGTTTATTATACATATGAAGTCATGTAAAACAAATGCAAATGAAAACACAAACAAAATAAAACAATAAAATAAATAGAGGGAAAATACTATGATTCAGAGTTCATCAGTCTTCTCTCTGGAGCTAGATAGCATTTTTTTATCAAGTCCTTTGGAACTGTTTTGGGTCATTGTCTTGATCACAGTAGCTAAGTCTTTCACAATTGATTATCCTTATAATATTGCTGTTACCATGTATACTTTTCTCCTGGTTCTCCTCACTTCACTTTGCATCAGTTCATATAAGTCTTCTCAGGTATTTCTGAAACCATCCTGCTCATCATTTCTTATAGCACAACAATATTCCATTAACAATCATATACCACAACTTGTTCAGCCATTCAGCAATTGATGGGCATCCCCTTGATTTCAAATTCATTGCCCCTTAAAAAGCGCTACTATAAAAATGTTTGTTCAAATAGGTTATTTTTCCTTTTCTTTGATCTCAACACCTGGAGTGAAATGGAGACTTGGTTATTCTGGACCTCATCCTTAACAGAAGGTTCTGGGAGAAATGAGGCAAGCAATTAGAGAAGCCCCTGAAGGCAGAGGATACTCCCAATGGGAGAAGTAATCCAGGGGTGAAGTGAGCTTCCAAGCTCACTTCTAAGGGGTTTCTATGACATGGTGGAGAGAGTCCTGTGGAGATGAGCTTGCATATATTGTAATAATGGAAGACAACACCGAAAAGGACTACCAACAAGGCCAGTTTGAGAGAAACAGAGGATTTGGAGGGATAGTATGAAATAATACAGAAAAGGGAAGGGGGAGCAGATGGTGGAGGACTTTCAATGTCAAACTCTAAATGTCAACAGTGGAAATGTGAATTGAGACAATTAAGACAAACACATACATTCACGCAGAGAACTATAAACACACAGACATCCAGGCAGAGGTGCAATCAAACATATGAAGGGGAGGAAAGGTTGGAAGTGCCCCTGAGAAGATACTTTATCTTCACCTGGTGCAAACACAGAGACTTAAGAAAGGAATAAAGGACAGAAACCCAGTACATACAGATAGATGCACATTTCAGGTTATGATACTATAGTGGAGAGGATAGCATGACCATCCCTACCCTGTTGCTCAGTCCTCACTTCACAGCACTAGGTTGGAAGTGACTTCCGTGTCCTCACACCCTCCTTTTCAGTAACTTCTGGATGCCTTGTTTGATCTCCTTGGTCCTCACACCATAGACAATGGGATTCAGGGCTGGGGGGATGAGGTGATGGAGGACATTGAGAAGGATCAGGATGTCCATGGGAACTCTCTTCCTGGCCACATTTGTCAGAACAACAACCAGCAAGATGGTGCTGAAGAAGAGGATGAGAATGAAGTGGGAGCCACAAGTGCTCAGGGCCTTGGCTGCAGCCCCCTCAGCCTTGATTCTCAGCACTGCCCGAAGGATGAAGGTATAAGAAATGAAGATGAGGATGAGATCAGAGCCAAGCAGAGTCCAACCAGCCACAAACTGGTAAATTCGGTTGAAAGTAAAATTGTCACAGGAAAGTCGGGACACAGATAAGTTCGCACAGATGCAGTTCTCAATTATATTTTTTCCACAATAATGAAGTCTGGATGAAAGGATTGGAATGGGTGCAGTAAGGAGAGCATTTCTGGCCATGATAAATACACTAGCCTTGACCACAAATTGATCAGTGATGATGGATGGGTAGCGCAGGGGGTGGCAGATGGCCACATAGCGATCATATGCCATGACCATAAAGGTGCATGACTCCATGGGAAGGAAACTGTTCATGATGAACATCTGGAGGAAACAGGCAGAGAAACTGATGGCCCTGAGATCAAACCAGAAGATAGCCAGGACCTTGGGGATGACAGTGAGGCAGAGCACGATGTCCAGCAAGGAGAGAAGACTGAGCAGGTAGTACATGGGCTCATGCAGAGAGACCTCCAGTCGGATGGTGATTAGGAGGGTGGCATTGGCCACCATGGCCAAGAGGAAGAGTAGGCTCAGGGGCAGGGAGAGCCAGTGCTGCCAGCTCTGGTAGCCAGGGAAGCAGATGAGGAGAAACTCAGAGAGTGTAGCAGGTGAGCTATTGTTGGCTGGTGCCATGAGGTAGGGCATGGGTTGGTCGGGGTTTACCTGGAGGCCAGCAAAGGTAGAGGTAGGAGTCAATTCATCAGAGGCGATGACTGGGCCAGGAGTCATCAGGCTAGGTCAAAATCTCTCCTGAGCAAAGCTAGCACAGCATCTCACTCTTTGTGAGCATAGCTGCCCCCTCAATAAGGTACATACAGAAAAAAAATGGAAATATTGGTCTTTCTATCATCACTTCCTCTCTCTGAATCTCTATTTACCCATCTGTAAAATGAAGAAATAGAATTGGATGATCTATAAGGTCCCTTCCACAGCATGCACTTTATGCTTATAAGAGCCTATAAGTTCTGGGCTTGCAAAGGGGAAGTTTGAGGATTTATATTCTATTGGACAGTGTCAAACAGAGCTCACAAGACCTAGGTTCAAATCCCTGGCTTTATGTCTTCTATGTCATCCTGGGCAAGTCCCTTAATCTGAGACTCAGTTTCCTTATTTGCAAAATAAGAATAATATATTGTAGAGTTGTAGAGAATATCAACAGAGATAATATATTTAATGCGCTTTGCAAACATTAAACACACTAGAAATACATTATTATTGTTGTTATTATGGGAGAATCAATGATTTTAGGGCATATTTACAGAATAAATGTTGCTGGGAATAGCCAAGTAGAAGGAAGAATAAATGATGTTGAGATCTGTTATTCCATAAATTTCAGTTTCTTAATCAGGTCCATCAAAGTATATGTGAGTTTGAGGTGTGCAGTCTGAAAAAAATTATCACTTGATTTTTTGTTGATCTAGGCCAGTAGCCTCTAATCAATTTTTTTACATACCCTATTAGTCAGAAAATGTTAAGGATGCATTCTCAATATATGCATATTTACTCATTTATAATTATATGTGAGGATGTGATAGTAAATGAGTAAATGTATTTTACTCATAGATGTTTGTATTTCTGTACTAAGGATGTAGTTTTCTGTACTAATAATGTATATTTTAAAACTTATTGAAGCATAGAAATTGTAAAAACTTGAGGTAAAGGTTAAATAATATTTAATCCTAGAATCAGTAAGGAACTACTAGGATTTATTGAGAAGTGGTATGATGGAGTGAGAGCTTGACTTTAGGGAAAATTCTTTGGCAACTGTTTGGAGGATGGGAAGACTTCTGGTGGGAAACTCTATTAAGAGGCTTATGATTGTCCAGATGAGAGATGATTAGGATCTGAAGCAGAGTGGTTGTTGTGTGAGTAAAGAGAGGGATAAATGGAGATTTGATAAATGTGGAAGTGTACATGAAATGACTAGACAGGTGATTAGATATGTGGGGTTAAAGAGAGGGAGAATTTGAAGATTACCCCAAGGTTGTGAATCTGAGTAACTGACATGGTAGTGCTGTCTTTAATATAAGAGGAAATTATGGAAGAAGGGTAGGTTTGAAGGGAAAAAGAATAAAATGGAGTAGGGGTGGGGAACCTGCGGCCTCAAGGCCACATGTGGCCCTCTAGGTGCTCAAGCCTAAATCTAAAATTCACAGAACAAATCCCCTTAATAAAAGGATTTGCTCTCTAAAACTTGGACTCATTCAAAAGGCAGTACCCAAGGACCTAGAAGACCACATGTGGCCTCAAAGCCACAAGTTCTCCACCCCTGTAATGGAGTCTGCTATTCAAATCACAACTCACTCATGCTTTCTCATTCTGAGCTGATTTGTGCTCCAATAAAACTGACAATATCTTACCTGAAGTTTCGCCATTTGTGAAGAACAATCTTTGTACCCTTTCCCTAACCCAGTAAAATTTTCTCTCTGTTCTTTCTTCCTTACTCAATGCTTATTTTCCTCTCCTGGTTCTGTTTCCATATCACTAACCTCTGATAATTCCTACCAAGGAAAGGGAAGCATGTAGGTATCTCCCATAAAGAGGACAAGATAAGGAACTAGGAACCCAGGAAGGATAAGTGACTGAGTCCCTCTTCAGTCCCCACTATTCACTTTCCTGCAAACCACTGGCCACCATGTCTTCCCAAGATCCTTGTACATCCATTTAAAGGAGGTCCACTTGACCTCTCTTCTACCACCCACTCAGAGGATAGGAAGAGGAGAAGCCATTAGCAGAAGCATCCCAGTATGAGCCATTACTCATCTAAAAAAATGAAATAATCCCACACCTTTAAGAGCTTATTTTTCCAATCCAACCCTGACTTCAGTCTTTTGGAGGTCCTGATCCTAGATCAAGGTCTGAACACCGACTCTTCCAATCCTATATACTTAGCCTTTAACTCCCTCTGTGCACTCTTCCCAAACCTCACAGTGCTCAATTGAAATCCTTCTGTGCAAACAGCAGCAGTTCTGTGGTAGGTTTTATGGATTCCAAACCCTCCCTTTGGGACCAGTAAAGAAAATATTTGGGTTGTTGAAGAATGGTCCCATGAGGAGTCACACTGTCCTGTCTTGCTCCTGAAGGTACATGGACTTGAGCCAAGTCTTGCCCAAGAGGATGATGTTAGGAATGGGAACAATCTCCAGTGCCTCAGAATTTAACTTTTTCACTCTTTTGCTCTCCTTCCTTCTTTCTCTGACAGTGATGCCATGAAGGCAAAGTCAAAGGAGTCAAAGAAGAATTCTCCTGGCCAAACACTCTTTACCTTAATATTGTGCTATCTCACTGCATTAATGGAAGAAATCCCTACATATACATACACACACATACTGATGTGGGACACACACAATGGGACAAATAAACACATACACACACACACACACACACCTATACTTTGTAATCTAGAGTCTGACTCAATTGCTATGTAGAGTTACCATATCCTTTGCAGAAGACTACATAGACTCATTTATTCAACTTAAACTCCTGGATCCCGTTTACCATACTCCAATCTTCTGGACCATCCAATTCTATTACTCATATAACATCTCTCCTGTATCCCTTTGGTCCATACTCTTGGCCTTTTACATCCCAGCTTGATGACTCCTTCTCTAGGAAATCTATCTATACCAACCAAACCCATTTACCAGCCCATTACAAGAAATGTTTTTGGCATTACCCGTGTACATGTTTCCCAGCTCTCCAATCTTACTGCAAGCTCCCTGGATGAGTAAGCAGCAGGGTATAGTAGAAAAAGAATGGCTCAGAAGTCAGAATGAAATTCACATTCCAACTCTGCCATATGTTCACTGTGTGACCCTTGGCAAATCAGTTTACCTCTCTGCAACTCACTTTCTTCATCCATTAAAAAAAAAAGGAAATTGGACTGATTCAATAAAAATAAGAATTTATTAAGCACCTACTCTGTGTCAGTAGTTCTACTAGGCACTGACTACAAGAAGACTTCTAAGGTTTTTTCCTACCTCTGAATCTTTTATTCGGTAAATGGCTCATATATCTTCTTCCTACTATATTTTCCCAGACAAATTCTCCTCCAAACCCAAAGACCTACAATGACACAAGTGTTTTCCAGAAGCATCCAATAGGCTTAACTTTCTTATTATACTGGGAGCTTTTTAAGTTTAGAGTCCATTTGATATAGTGGAAAAGAACACTGGGCTCAGAGTTAAAAGATCTGGGTTTGAATATTGCATTTTCATTTATTGGCTGTGGGACCCTAGATAAATCACTTCCCTTATCAATGTCTCAGTTTCCTCATCTGTAAAATAAAAGATTGGTAGAACTAGATGATCTCTAATGACCTTTTGAGTACCAACCTTCTGTAATTCTATAGTAAAAATCACTCTGACTATAAAAAATAACATTGGCACAACATGATTTTCATCATTCAAGAAATTCATTTATTATAAAAATATTATTAACGCAGGGTATTGTCCTCAACAATGGGAAAATGAAACTGGTAAAATCTGTTCTTCATTGAACTTATAGTCAAGTAGGGGGCTATACAACATGTGCACACACTATTATTATATGAAATAAAATCAAAAAATTTCAGAAATCATCTCCTCTAACCCTACCTGAACCATTAACCTCCTACAATATACAGAAAACAATTATTAAACACTTCCTATATGAAAACACTGTGCTAAGCACTTGACATACAAATAGAAAAGCAAGACAGTCTCTGTTCTCAAGAAGTCCATATTCTACTATAGGAGACAACACAAATGGAAAATTTCAGCTGCAAGCCAGATGGAAAACTCCCATGGTCCTTAGGGTGTAGCAGCAGCATAGATATTAATAATTCTTCTTTAGAGTCAAGGTCAATAAATTTCAATTTCTTTAATATTGTTTCCCACAATAAAATCATATCAATTTCATATGGACCATTTGACAGTGCCAAATACTTTGGAGATAAGAACAGTTATGTTCTGAGTAGCTGTGGCTGTGCCACCTACAGATCAGTTGCCAGGCAGAATCTCTATAGCAGTAATTTCAAAAGAAAATATCTAAGGGCACTGGACTGGAAGCATTACTATTGCCAAAGATCTCAAGTGCAGAGCCCTGGCTGTCCCCATCAGAATCTAAGGGTAGATGAAGGTCAAGGTGGTTGTGGTGGGGGTGGGATAGTCAGAGGAGGTTCAGAGTCTTGGGAAAGATATTGGTCAAGGTGGGAGTGGTGATTTGACTTGCCTGGCACATGCTGCCTCCTGTCTCTCCTTCAGGATGCCCTGCTACTTCACTTAGGTTGATGTGCCTGCCCTGTGAACGGCAATTGGTTAGCAAGTGGGGTTGGCTAGCCCTTTCTCCATAAGAATTGTTTCCTCAATAATGGCTAAGAGAGCTAGGCTGGAAACAGGAATGACGGTGGCAGAGAAGTGCTGTCACTTCCAGGACTCCTGTGCCAACCCGCCTATTATATATCCCTGATATGTGTTCATCCAGTCTCTTTTTCAAGTCCTCCAGTGACAAGGAACTAATTACCTAACCAAGAGGCTCATTCTATTGTTGAACAGATCTAATTATTAGGATTCCCCTTACCTCAATATTAAAACAAAATCTCCCTCTCAATTTCCATTCATTAGTCCTAGTTATGTTGGCTGTTATCAGGCAGA